TGTTGTTGTTGTTGTTAGGTGCTGTAAAGTCAGGTAGTCAGTTCTGACGCACAGAGATAGACAGACTGCCTGCTCCTGCACTATCTGCACAATCATTCTTATATCGGAACACACTGTTGTAGTCATTGGGTCAGTACACCCCTTGACAGACACAGACAGGAAATAAAAGGAGAGAGAACAACATTTCATGTAACCAGTAAACAAAAATGAGCAAGGGTGGCAGACTGATATCAGATAAAGTAAACTTTAAATTAAAATTTATGAGAAAACATAAAGATAATACGTAATAAAAGGGCTATCACAAAAACCCAAATAGTTTATATATATATATATACCGCAAAGGAGGAGTCCTGCTAGCCCTGGGGGTAAGTGTTGTGCTGCTAACAGCAAAGAGGGTAGCTTGCACCCGCCAGTCAGTCCATGGGGAAAAAAAGATGAGGCTACCTGCTTTTGTGAAGATTTAGTCTCAGAAAAACCTCGAAGTTGGTCACTATGATTTGGAATTAGCTAGTGACAGTGGGTTTGGTAACAACAATACAGCAAAATAAATGAAATAAATTCTGACTATTCTGAAAGGATAAATAGACAACTCCACCATAATAGCAGGGGACTAGAGACTAAAAGAGACCTACAAGAATGGAAATACATCCTGTGCTCATGGACTGTAAGACTTAATATATACTGAAAACGTCAATTCTATCTCATACAAATTCAATATAATCCTGATATAAACCCCAAAGAGAAAATGGAAACAAGAAAGGGTAAAATAATTTCATATGGAAAGAAAGAAACCTTAAATAAAGAAGTAGTGAATAAGAAGAATAAAGTAGACTTGCATGCCTCGATATCAAAACATACTAACGTAGTGACTGTATCAAAAGAGACTGATATTATTTCAAAGACATACAGACCGGTGACATATACAATGGAGAACTCAGATAAACCCAGCCGTCAAACAGCATATCGCGCTGGGTAAAAATGCTGCACAAGACCTCTGCAGAGTGTTAAGAAATACCTCTTGGAGAACTAGAGTGCATTGGACCAAGCCAGGGTACTTTCTATGGCCTCTTACGCAATGTGAAAGGCGGACACAGAATAAGAAAGACCACAGAAGAATTCATGTACTTGAATTACGGTGCTCAGGAAGAATACGGAAAGTACCACGATTTCCAGTAGAACAACCAGATCTGTTTTGAAAGCCAGAATGCTCCTTGAAAGCCAGGATGGAGGGAATCCATCTAACATTTTGAACTTGTTTTCAAGAGTCCCCCAAAACCCAAACTCACTGCTATGGAGTCGATTCTGCCTCATAGTGATCCTATAGGGCAAGGTAAAACTGCCCCTGTGAGTTTCTAAGACTGACTCTTCATGAGATTACAAAGCTTTGTCTCGCTCATGCAGAGCTAGCTGGCAATTTAGAACTGCTGTCTTGACAATTAGCAGCCCAATGCATAACCACAATACTTCCAGGGCTCCTTGTCAGGAGACACCAGCCCCCGGAAAAGGACATCATGTTTGGTAAAGTAGAGGGTCAGCAATAAAGAGGAAGCTTCGCAACTAGAAAGACTGACAAAGTGGGTCCAGCATAGGCTCAAAACTAGCAATGACGACGAGGACAGGGCAGGACCGGGAAATGCTAGCTCAGTTGTACAAAGGGTTACTAGGAGTTGGCATTGACTTCCCAATACCTAACCACAACATCTGGATAAATGATGGTCCAAAACAAGGTCAAAGACAACTCAGTGAGGCAAAAGCAGTTTAATAAATGGTGCTATCAAAACTGGTTATCTACTTGTACAAAAATGAAAAAGAACCCACGCCTCACACCACCTGCAAAAATTAACTCAAAATGGATCAAAGAGCCACATGTTAAACTTATAACAATGAAAGTTCTGGAAAACAACATAGGAAGAAAAATAGTGGATCTAATCTTTTGTAATAATACAATCATAAACATTAGTAGAATAATAAATATTACCACAAATATATGAGTTGAGGACAAGAAAGACAAATGAGAGGTCTTACAATGAAAAACACCTATTCAGCAAAAGACTATTAAAAAAGTAAATAGATAACCTACCAAGTAGGGGGGGCCAGTCTAAGGAAATGTTTTATCTAATAATGGTCTAATCTCTAACATGTATAGAACATTGTAACAACTCAAGAACAAAAAGGCAAATAACCCATCACAAAACTGGCAAAGGACATAAAAAGAAACGACAACAGAAGACATCTAAGCAGTCAATAACATGAAAAGATATTCATGGATCATGAAACATTGCTGTTTTCGTTCTTGTTGTTGTTAAGTGCCAGTGAACTGATCTGGGCTCACAGCAACACTGTGCACAGAAGAAGGAAGCACTGCCCGGTCCTGTGCCAGCCTCAAACTTCTTCTTAAAGTTGAGCCCACTGCTGCAGCCACTGTGTCAATCTATCTTATTGAGGGCTTTTCTCTTTTTTTTCCTGTCTCTCGTCTTTAGCAAGCATGATGTCCTTTTTCAGGGACAGGTAGCCCCTGAAAACACATCCAAAATACTTAAGATGACGTTTTGCCATCTTTGCTTCTAAGAAGGATTCCAGCTGTACTTCTTCCAGGGCACATTTCTTTGTTCATTTGGTTATCCATATAACGTTCAGATTCTTCGCCAGTACCATAATTCAAATGCATTCATTCTTTTTCAGCCCCCTTAAATCAACGTCCAAATTTCACATGCTTAAGAAGTGATTAAAAATACCATGGCTTGAGTCAGGTGTAATGTCAGCCCTCAAAGTAACATCCTAGCTTTTCAACACTTGAAAGAGGTCTTGTGCAGCAGATTTACCCAATATAATGTGACATTTAATCTCTTGACTGCTCCCACCATGAACACGGATTGTGGATCCAATGAAGAAAAAATCCTTGGCAACTTGAATATTTTTTCAGCTTATCATGATGTTACCTATTAGTCCAGTTGTCAGGAATTTTGTTTTCTTTCTATTGAGTTGCAATCCATACTGAATGTTTCAATCCTTGATCTTCATCAACAAGCGTTTCAAGTCCTCCTCACTTTCAGCAAGCAAGGTTATAACATCGGTCTAGGGGATGTTGTTAATAAGCCTTCCCCTAATCTGATGCCACATCTTTCTTCATATAATCCAGTTTCTCTGATTATTTGCTCAGCATACAGATTGGAAAATTACATTGAAAGGATACAGCCCTGATACATACCTGTCCTGATTGTAAACCATAGAGTACTCCCTTGTTCTGCTTGCACAACTACTCTTTGATCCATGTACAAATTGTGCATATGCAGAATTAAGTGTTCTGGAATTTCCAGTTGAATGCCCTTGCATTGTCAATAAAACACAAGTAAACATCTTTCTGGCACGCTCTGCTTTCAGCCAAGATCCATCTAACATCAGCAATGATATCCCTTCTTCCATATCTTCCTTTGAATCCAGCCTGAACCTCTTTGGTAGCTGCCTGCCAATGTACTGCTGTAACTGTTGTTGGAAGATGGTCAGCAAAATTTTACTTTCATGTATCAATCACACTGTTCTATAATTTCAACATTCTGTTGGTCTTTCTTTGGAATCTGTACAAATATATACAGATTAAGTCTCTCTATATATTCCCCCTTCACTTTTTCCCTTTTATAAAAAGCTGAACCAACTTTAAAATGGGTCAAAAGGGAGATCAAATGATAA